TTGCAGTTCTGCTGCGAGTGGAAACATCTGTATTTTTTTTAAAGCAGTTATATGGTCTGCATTCCCAGTGGCTGTATTGTATGCATTTCTGTGTGACATTCTCTTTAGTAAGACTTGTGTAAGGAATGCAGGACCAAGCTAGAAACCTTTATAAATACATTTTGGAGTGAACTATTTTAAAATTCATTTGGAAAGAACTCAGTTGGTTCCAGAGAGGTCAGATAGGAGAGCCTTTTATTGAGATAAAGCTTATTATGAATCACAGTGATTCAAATGGCTAACATTTTTTTTATTCAGCTAGGTAATAAAAAAGATCGTGCTTGATAAGCTCCTTGCTTTTGTGATAACACATATTTACAGGTAGTTTTTTCTTAGGTTAATGCCTTAAAACAATGGCTAAACTCTCAAACAATCTAGTAAACCCAAATGTGGAGCCCTGAGTTCAGTTGTGTCTATTTCCAAGGCTGTGAGATAGTACTGTGGGGATTTATTTCCTCTTTTTCCTTTGTAAATAGCCAATAATTCACAGAAGACAGTAACATCCTCTGGATGATAGGGAGAAGTACACTGGTTGCAAGCATGAGGTGAGGTGTCCTGGCTTGGGGTTTCTTTTACCGCTGTTTTTAGATTTCATGGCCTATTAAGACAGAATATGATATCGATTGATGCTGAATACACACAAGGGAATTCAGATGATTACATGATACCCAGATGGTGTGCTTTTATACATACAGCAAGCAGGAGCATTTGTCTTATCGGTGATGAGTGATAATAAAGCTTGTGCAATATTGTATATTACTTTTCAAAAGTAACTATGCTAATACATCAATATGAGCTCGCTAAAGGATTGGCACATTAATCCATCCTTGCTTTCAGCTTTCTTCTGCACTGATATGAACTCCTGCTCCACGTTATCTCAGCTCCATTTGCATTCTCTTGCTTCAGAGAGAGTGGAGCTAAGAACTTTGTGCGTATTAAATAGACTAAAAGATCCATACAGCTTTCTACTTCTGTGTCTAGGGCCAAATCCTTTATTCCCACAGTACAACATGTGGTAAGGGAGCTCAGATGCAAGAAATAATTCAGAAATCCTCAGTGCCATCAGGGAAAGACATAACCACCCACAGTGGGCCTCATTAGTCTATCCTCTTGGGCAGCATCCTTCTTGTCACTGGGGTCCTTGATGCCCAGGACACTGTGTGGAAATGTACGTTTTCTGGATAATCTCTATAGGTGTGTTGTAAATTTTTACTCTTCATTTACCCAAATGTCCTTTGCCAGAAACTCTCTACTATGTCTTAGAATGGAGGTGTCATGGAGTTACCTGAGGGCTGCTGCAGAGATCTATATGAACATTAGACCTGTCAGAGCTTTCTGAACCTCATTCAGAAAGTGTTAATTCCCATCAGTCCCACCCATTATGTATGTTTCGAATGGCCTGTGAAAGTTTAGCTTATAAGATCATTTGGAGGAGAAGAGTTCAAGATCCAAGGTGACTTTCAGAGGCCACCAATTTAGTTAAACATTCTGCTGCATACTAGCTGTCTTGCAGCTATTAGATGTGTGTATAATGGTCTTGGTTGTATAACCTCCCAGGCTCATGAAAAACACCGTGAAAGCAGGGATGTTCATACAGGTGAGTCTCTCAGAAAATCTAATTAGTTTAAACAGGCATTTGGTCAAATGTTGCATGTAACTCAAGAGGCTTTCCAGGCCTTATGCTATATAAAGACTGTGTAGGTGCTAATTTTTTTATGGTGTTGAGGGCTTTCTCTTGTAAGTTTTAAGAACTGCTAATACTCTTTTAAAATCATGTTCCATAAAACTCGGCATGCTTTTACTTGCATGCATTTTTCCTATTGACAAAGGAGAAAAATTCTTCATTAAAATATGTTGCTCATTCAGGTGAGAGCTCTGGAACTGTTAGGGGAAAAAAGGTTTGGCTTTTTTCTTCTTTTTTCTTTTCATGTCTATAATAAATAAGGCCAGAAGGACAAGTATTCATTTTCGGTTTGTATTATTTTTTTTTGTCTGGATATAAAGTGTTGAGCCTCCTAATCTTAAGCCTTGCTGAAAACCTGACTTCTAGGGACAAATATCATTCTCTTTTTCTATCTTCTTCAGTTCTTATCACAATGACCCTTGTCATTTAGTGACTCTAATTTTAACACCAAACCTCTGCTCTTACCAATAAACTACAAACTGTACACAAGCTGTGTCCGAGTTTGTTTTTTGCAGGTTATTTGACAGTTAGCCATGCAAATATGCAAGTTACTGACATAAGAGATCAAGAACCATGAATCTGTATTGTTTCTACCCTCCTAACCAACCCATTGAAATGCATCTGGAATTTGCCATTGTCTCCTTTTAGAGTTGTCCTCTGGACATAGGGCTACCACCCTGTGGCCTTGGGGAAATGGCAGTTCAGTTGCTTGTTCAAAAACCCTTGCAGAAGCCCCAGGCTGAAGTTTCATGGTGATCAGAACTGAGCAAGGTGGAGGAAGGAGAAAGTAAGATCAGAGTACAATCATGTTAGGTGGTATACCGATTTCACATCACGTATATGGGTAAGAGGTGATGGTCCCTCATCTCACATTCGTTTCTGGCCTTGTGAAGGTAATCCAGTGAGTTTTGAAGGGGAGTAGGTTTCTTGGGTTTCTTCTCCCTGGCTTTCCTCAAAGACAGGGAAGGGAACTTGACTGTGAGAAGGCAGAAGTGTTTCCTGAGGCATCAGAAACAGTTCTTTCCAATTTGTCTTTTCTTCTTGTGGAGTGGGGAACCATTGGGAATGGAGAGCCTCTTTAACTGTTCTCTCTGCCTAGGCAATCCTAAAGGGCCTGTGGTTTGCAGAATGCTGCTGGGCATTTGGCTTGTGTTTTCACTGGAATCTTTTCCCATTTAGTATTACCAAATAAAAACAAAGGTGAAGAGGAAAAGAGAAAGCAACAAAACAATGGCTGAGTTTACCCTGTGTATTTCAGGGAGATTATTTTCCCCTTCTCTTTCATGATCTTCCTCCAAGGAGGAAACAATTGATACAGTGTATATGAGTGAATTAATTGGCTTTTGTGGAAGTACTTGATAACTACAGCATATCTACAAGTTTGGAATAAAACTATGTTCCAAAGCTGTCCTCAAGAGTAGACATTTATTATGTTTAGCTGTGAAATCGTTGTGTTTTTTTCTTAGCATGTCCTATCGAATTATTCTTCGCATTAAAGCTAAATGAAAGCCCACATTCATAAATATATTTCAAGTTATAAAGATTATGGTACTGTAAGATAACATGATAATCGAAATTTCTTTGCATATTCAAAGGTAATTTTTGAAGTTAAATACCACTGATTTCGCCTAGTAAACTGGATATTTTCCCTGCCTTTCTATTAAAAAAAATACTATTTTGAAGTAATTTCTTAGAATTTAATTTGTATTTTATGGCTGTAATGAAAGCTGTTTCTGCTTTCTGTCCTTATTAAAATAGTTTGTGTGTACCATGAATTCCATTTTAACCACAATTCAAAAAGGAATGTGCATGTTACTTATGACTTTCCTGCTATTCTTTCTTTTGTTTCTTTATTTTGCTCTTAGGTTTCCTCAGCACATTGTTAGACCCAGCCCTGGCAAGAAGGTGATTGATATGGCTCTTTGTGCCCCGGCTAAATAGCTAAACATACAGTGTATTGTGTCTGCACTAAGGAAAAAATGAAATGCAATTAAATTCATTTCAACTTCAGTAACATGACATTTTTGTTTCTTTAATGCCAGCCTTTATTCTCCTTTATAATCAGATTTTGTAACCCTTTTTATAATGTCTCCTCGCTTCACCAGTCACTAAATAGGATGCTTGTGTTGCAAGTTAATTAGAAATTCTCATGTGCTCGGGCTGACTTGTTCCAAATCTTTGGTGTGGTTTCCATATCTTCTGAGAGAGCACACTGCACCAGCCACTGAGCTGTGAGGCATGAGGTCCATATTTACTCTTGAATTCTGCATATTTGGCTTTGCAAAGTCTTGGTTTGTTCCCATTTGGAAACTGTAGTATTTCTTAACATATTTCAGTATGAAGGGTCTGTATATTAGAGGAGATTTTTCAAATCTGGAAAGAAAACTCCTAGGAAACATTTATTCACCCTTTGTATTGACAAAATCCGTGAGGGTAGCACAGCCTTTCACAGGGGGTGCCTTATAAGAATGCAGGAGAATGATGGGAGAGGAGATGAAAAGGGGAGGACAAAAGATCTCCATCATCCAGGTCTTTGTTCATAATTACAAATTACAAAAATACACAATGTCAATGCTTGGCTCTATGGAAAGCATTTGCAGAGTTTAGTAAAGGGTTAGAGGAGACATGGTGGATGAGTTAAGTCTCTATCTAAATTTACCTTAGAGACTATTATAAATAGGTTTCAAAAGCCATCTTTAGGTTCAATGGGAATTAGTATTTTCTGGTGAAAAATACTTAAGCAACTCCCATTAAAAAAACCTTTGAAGGAGAAAACCTATCATACTTGCGGTTTTCCTGCACGTTATTGTTGTATTATTAAATTCTTCTTTGCTTTAGCTCCAGTGTCCCATCCCCCAGCCTTATCTCCCCATCTCTATGCACCCTGTACTGTTGTGTCCTATAATTAGTGAAGATACACATCTGTCTTCAGGCTACCACCTAATCTCTAAGGCCATATGGGTAAACAGAATATAATTATAATTTGGTAGAAATTGAGCCTTCTGCACATGGTTGTATTGCTCTTGTTCTTTATAAAGCAGGCAAATAGCATCTATGATACAGCAGGGTTTGGAGGATGGGGTTAGTCCTTGCAAAATACATATTTTTAGGTGGAAATTTTGTTGTGTTAAACTTGGGTGGGAAATAACGCCGTTTTGGGAGGAATTCTGACACAATGTTACCACAATATGCAAGCACCCTGCATATTGTGAAGAAATCATCTGTGGTTATATGCAAAATATTAACAGAGGTCATTTTTTGTCCCCCTCTTTTTCAGTTATTTTTATTTCAGTTGCTGCGAGGACTCTCTTACATCCACCAGCGTTACATTTTGCACAGGGACCTGAAACCACAGAATCTTCTGATCAGTGACACGGGGGAGTTAAAGCTGGCAGACTTTGGTAGGCAAGCAGTTAATTACAAGTCTCTTATAATGTTGTAGGAATGTCAGACAGATGGTTCCATTGATTTCTCTTCCCCCCACCCTATTCCTTAGACACACCTTCTTCATTGTAGATAATTGCACATTTTTCTCCTGAGTGAAGAAATTGATTATGGTCAACAAAATGCTTGATTAAAAGGGAGCAAGTAAAAAAACAAATATATATTCAGTTCTCACAAGGAAGATAATGCTGAAAGTATTTCAGTTTTATTTACCATGAGACCTCTTAAAAAACAGAAAGAAAAAAAAGAGAGAGAGTGAGAGATGTAAGCAAATATAGACTATATGAAGAGCACAGTCACTTTATGGAATCAGCTCTAGGGTTGTGGAGATCTGGATTAACCTGCATTAAGTGGGTATTGAAAGAGACTGAAGGATACAAGAATAATTATTCCTTCAAGAATAAAGGACACTAGGATCACCCAGGCTGCTTTCAGTATTCCTTAGTCCCTTATGGGGAATCTTATGTGGAGTACAATGCAAGGGAAAATTGTTCACTGAAATGTCAGCCTTTTTCTGGTTTTGAAGTTTAATTTTTAAAGCTACTTTCTAGTTCCTACAGTGGGGCAAGTGCTATTTCCTCTGGAAACCATTGTGAATGCAGATGTGGAAAATGGCAATATTTTTCTTTAGTGCTTTCAACAAACTGTTGTAGGAATTCCTTTCTGTAGGTCAACTTCTCAGCTACTGATTCCAGCAGAACTTCTGAAGTAAGCTGAAAATGTGACCTATTGGCTGTTGTAAAATGTCTTTTATTTTTATGACTACTATCCACATCGGGCTTCGCATTTCATGCAGCAGCAGGAATGAGGGAGCGTATGTGCTAATTGGCAATTTCACTGTTAATGTAGTCATGTTTTTTTGTCTTTTAATTAGCATTACTGCAATTAACAGCTCAGTGTGTATTTGCTATGCTGGAGAAAAAAACAGGAATTCAGGTGGACACAGCCCACAAGAACTCAATTGGCCTTTGGATTGTAGGCAATTAGAGAAATACATTAGAGAAACAATTATTAACTGGTTTTAAATACCATCTTCTGTTGCTGTTTTTCAAAACTTGGAAGATACCAGAATTGTTTTTAAGAATGCTTAAAGAAAGCGTTCCTGCATGTTTCATTTTACTGAGATTTAATCTCTTAATGATTCACCTGTTTCATATATCTGTGTTTTTGCAATGATATACGAGTTAGTCCTCTGTTAGAGGTGCTGTGCTGTTTGAGATGACTAGTTTTGATGTATCATTTATATGTACAAAACACTGTGAACTTTTCTGACCTCCAAGCATCACCTTATTACAAGTCCTTCAAGAGATTCTGATGATTGTGCTCTGGCTTTGGTCGATACTGAAAAATCTGTAGGTGATGTTGCAAACTCTTGTGTACATAAAATGTTTCATATGGTGTGGGGGTTTTTGGTGGTGGTGCTGCTGAAGTTTTTTCTGTTTGTTAAAAGTTTATCCTGACCTAACAGAAACATCTGCGTAGATTCTCTTATACACTGGAAGAATATTATATATCTCAATTAATTATTATTTTTTTAAGTTAGATTTTCTTTCATGGCTCATGACCTCATAAAATTGAAAACCAGATGGGTTAAATTTCTCTTCAGAGAGCAAGATGAAAAATCAGAAGTGATGAGGTTAAAGTCTGAAAGGTTATGACCTCTTTCACTGGAGACAATAAGAAATAAGAGCACTCCCATGTGCTCTCTACGTGCACCCCTGTGCATATTTACTTATTTAAAAGCTGTATTATTATAGCCTATCTTCCACCTTCCCAGTACCAAAGACTCTTCTTAAACAAGATGTAAAATACGGTCCTGTTTCTCTTTATGTTTTTCTCCCGTGAATGACTAATTTGCAGTAATGTGCTTGGAAAGGAAGTCGGTTTAGATTGTATATTTGATTAATTACATGAGGAGCAGTATGGAAATTAGAGGTGTTTTGCTTTCAAATGCACTCAAGGCAGGAGAGAACCTATCAAGAAATCAGTTTCTGTCAGAGATAGGATTGACTTTGCTAGCACAATAAATATAAAATCTTAGAGCAAAGGCCTTTTAGTCTCTAAGGACAAGACCTTCAGATTTTGGTTTCATAAGTTTAGGAAAAATCAACTGCACAGGCAAAGCTTTTCATTTGGTGTCAGGCTTATTTAATCTTCTCAGTGTAGAATATCAAATACTTAAAAGCAGGCTGTAGTGGATCATAGTTCTTGAATAAACAAGGTAAAAGAAAGGCTATTCATGCCTGCCAGTGCATTGCACTGCAGCTGAAGTGGAATCTTTGAATAACTGTGGGCATGTGTTTTTCTACAGCAGGGCTCCCAGACATAGATACTCCACTGTGTAGGAGTGTCTTTGTTCAGATGAACGGTGGTTTGCTTTTCTGGACATTGTGCTATAGCTGCTAGAAAATGAACATTTATGAGAAGACTCAGTAGTCAAATGAAAAGGGAGAATAGAACAGAGGCTTTATCAAATTAAAAATGGATGAGCTATAAAAAATGGCTTTCTTGAGAAGATATAATAGGGGAGGCTACAACTTGAATAATTGTTGCTATGAAAAATAGTCCTTGAACTCCATTCCTGCATTCTGTTTTCAATCTAATTAAAATTCCAGAGGAAATTACAGTATATTAGGAATTCTCCTCATGAAATGAAGTGCAAGAATTATTTTTGATCCTGTCGTGTAAATTTAGCTGTCTATGGGTTTGTTTATATTCCCCTGCACATATGTCTGTCTTGAGTAGAAATAAAGTATTAAAAACCTTTAAGGAGTAACACCATAAACAATTATAAACTTAAATGAATAAAGGCTTTTGCTTTATGCTAGTAACTGCATAGACTGGGCTGTGTATCTGTTCCTTAGCCTTTGGTTAGTAGTTTCTTCACTTTATTTTTTCTCTGCACTGTATACTGATGCATTTATTGCCCTTTGGATACGTATGCTTCACTGACAGGACAAAGCCTTGAGCAGTTTGGCAGTTTGGACTAAGCGAGTTCTTTTTGTGTGGCTCTGAGACTCATATACTATGCTTTTTTGCTTTTAGTGACTGGGTATTGGCATTTAGTTATTGTGTTTGCTGTTATAAATCAAGGTTAGCTAATCTTATGTTTGCATTCAGATTCTCATACTTAATAACGCCCCCACAAGGTCCCTAAATAGCTGATAACAATCAGGTAGGAGGTGGGTCTCACCTTCCATGTGGGACTTCCAGGAAGGATTTACTCTTTTTATTTCTTGTTTCTTATTTTATGTCCCAAAACATCCACTAACAGCATAATAATTCTGACTCTTCCAGGGACAATGTGGACCTTTAATCTGATCACAGTATGCCTACTTTTACATGTCCTTTAGTTAGAATAATTCTGTGCTTTCTGGGTTGTAAAATATATAGTTACACTCGTTATATATTTCTGGATAAAACACTTCCATAGCTTTTGAGGGTAGGCATGCTGACATCACCTTTGGATGCATTGGGTGCATGGGTGTAGAGAACAAAATATTTAAACTTGACTAGCATGTGAGGCAGTGGTAGCATGTCTGAGGCTGGGAGAAACTGGCCAAATTAACAGTAGGTCCCTTGTCCAGCTTCTCCTGTGAGCTGATGAGCCTGCAGCTGGAGATTTCAGGGGACTGCTTGTTTGTGAAACTTACCTGAAGCCATTTGTCTTTTCTGCTCTGCCTGCAAGAGAAGTGAACTGCACAGAGAGGGTGAATGAAGTCTGAAGACCTGTTTGGTCTATGTTTTGGCTTGTGAAGTTACTGTAAGTGCATGGACCTATATGTCGTCACATCTGGCTTTCTCTCTATGCCATGGCCCCAAGACACAATATATGACTATGCAGGCACCTGAGAGGCAGAACTGCAAAATACAATTTCAGAGTATGAAACAAGCAGGTGTATAAGGTATTGTTAGCTGGACTATAATTTGCAAGGGTAGGAAAAGTTGCTAATTGAGGTTTTTATTTTTGAGACTTGAATAGAAATTTTCCCTTCTCCCTGTTCTCAACCCTATTTTTTTGTTAGTTTTGTTCCTTGAAAAAATATTCAAATTGCAGTAACAGTTCAGTGAATTCTAGTGTCACAAAGTGAACAAGGAAGAGCATCAGGAACTTGGTGCTTTAGTGATTTAATGCTTGTTCTTGCAGTCAGAGTTGCTCTTTCTTGTCGGTGGGAGTGGGCTTTGGAGGGAAAAACAGCACAAAAGTCTTAATGGAAGTGTCTTTGCTTAACTCTCCCAAATAACACTGACCTGAAGCATTTCCTGTCAGCTTTTTGTTGTCTTTGGGGATCTCCTTGGATGAGTAAGGAGCTACAGGAGGTCTGCATTATAGTGGAAGTCCTGCCTTAAGCTTTTGGAGTTCGGTTAATATAAAGCCCTGTGATGTAAAAAAAAAGAATCATGTAAGTGTGATTAAACCATTCATCCTTCTAGATACACGGGATGATTAATAATAGATAGCAGGAGCAAAGAGGCTTGAGATTTGTAATAAAGAGAATGATACTCAATGGAGTTGCAGTTTAAAACTACAGCTGAGTATCAAAGAGGATTCCATGAATTTCCATATTGATTTTTCTGTGGGGAGCATCTCGGAGATATGTCATGGGGACAAGAATATTGCTGTATAGTTTACTGTAAAAATGATTAAAGCTATGTTGACAACTTGAAAAAAAAAAAGTTCTTTTTTTTCATAGTAAAAATCCCATGAGGAGTTTCTTTATTATGTACCGTAGAAGATTCATGTGAAAGGTTGGATTGCATAAAAGATTGCTTGCATGGATAACTGCTATGTTTTTCTGTGTAAATGCTCCACAGAGTATCAGTTCTTGAAGATGCTGGTATAAGGAGTTGTCATTGTATCTTAAGAGATTGTATTTCTTATTGTTGGAGATGCTTGATGAAATTATTGTCAAAATGCCTGAGAGCATCTCTAGTAATGTAGACTGTCTCCCTCTGA